CAATTAACAGTAATGATATGAATAGAGTGTTTGACATTGTTTCGAAAATGTTATAAAATTAAGTCCTTAAGTGCGCAAAAATTAATTACCAGTGAATAGCACATAAATCAATTTTTTTGTAAAATCCATTTAATTATTATTTTTGTTCTTTATCAATGTTCTTCGGATGATCCCAAAATATTAAAAGAGAAAATGCAATTTTCATGTGTTGATAAGAGATATAAAATAATTATTACGTGTAAACCATTCGACTTATCCATTATTCAAAGTGAAAAAATGCCGAAAATAAACTAAAAACTTCCATCATTTCTTAATGATACAGCAAATTTTATTTCCCGCTTTGGTGATAATTAATAAAGGCAATAAATAAAGATAATTAAAAGATTATAAGATAATTAATGAAGAAGATAATAAGATCATGACGGACATCCAAAGGCAACAACAGATTATTGGGATTTGCGATTCCTGCCATTTTCTTTTGATGAACGTTCTCTGCAAGCGATAAAAATGCAAATGAATGAATGATAAAAATGCAAATCATTCGAGTTATCAGAATTGTCAAAATGTAAAATACGAAGTGTATCAAATTAGTTAAAATTTGTTGTTGATCGAAAAAGTTTACTACAAATTTAAGGTTACCATAAACACTACCACAAATTAATTTTTTTAAAAATTATTAAATGATCATTTGAGAATTTAATAATAATGTATACAATATTTTAGCGTGTCATAAATTTTTAAGAATTTTTTTTGGTTTGATACATTGCAATAAATAACTTTTCGACACAATAATGAATGAATTTCATTTGATTGCTTATTGTGAACGGTAAACTTACTTACAAAACTTTTTGATGCAGTTATTGTTAAATGAATTGAAAATATCGATGAAAATGTCCAGCTACTGATATAGCACCAGATTGACCCGAGGGGTAAAATGCCCAGTTATTGATAATATCAAGTTTACTCGAGGAATAAAAATGCCTAATTATTGATAGCATCAAGTTGATCTTAGGAGTAAAAAACAAAATCAATGTTAACATATTTACGATACTGAAAATTATCGCTTGTAAGACCTCAGGAAATAAACTGTCGTCGGAAATAAACGACACTTATATCGTAACAAATCCTTTGTTACTCAAATTTCTTACTTCGTAGTATTCAGTATCATAGTACTTCAAGACTTTAATTTCATGCTTTATTTTTGTGCTTCTTTTTTTTTCATTTTCATCTTAAAAAAGTGGTCAAACTTATAGAACAGTGAGAAATTTGAAATGAATGGAAAAAAAGTGATCATGAAAGAGCAGTTCCGAAATGACCGCGAAATCAAGTTTTCATGGACAATTTTTGCTGTGAAGAGAGAATGAAATATTATTCATTCTTGTTTTATTTCTATTTAAAGTTCATACTGGTTTTTAGCTAATTCAATTTTTATGGATAAAATTGTGTCTAAAAAAATTCACTAATAAAAGACTAATTTCTTTAGAAAGTAATAATATAATAAAAATTTTGATATGGAATAATTTTATCATAACATCGTATATCGCTTTACTGCTAGTACTTGAATCATTTATTAATTGATGAAACATTTATCTGATTGAGACAATGAAATAAAACCGATAAAAACAAATATGATAGAATTCATTCTAAAAATATATCATATTGTATTCAAATTCCATGAAATAAATTCGTAATTTTGCTTATAAACATTACTTGATTTCGCCAGATTGTTGCTTGTTGCCTAATTACGCAAGATAATGTAAAAATTTATGTACACATTCATGCGAGTAAACTTTATATTAATGATATCAATTTTTATCCTCCGATTGTATGCAAAATAGTGATAAAAATATATGTACAAATAAGTGATGTAAACAAATTTGGTATCATAAATAATTTGCTACTAAAAAGTTTTGTTTATTTGATATACCAGTATAATTGTCTGACGTCAAAAAAATATTTTGTTTGGTTCTAATTCAGTTGAAAAAAGTACGTTTGCTAGAAATGGTATTTTAAAATTTCAAGTGATAATTAGTACTGATAAACAGCTTTACAGTTCCTTCGTATAATTTTTTTTTTCTAATTTTACTAACATTTTAATCTATCTTCAATCATCAAAGCTGCTGTTAGAAAAATACTATACCTGGAAAAAACATAAAATACGGGTATTTTTTGAGCTACCGTGCAACTGTTTTTTTTAAGATGTTAGCTAAAATGCTTGAAGGTTATATCTGCTTATTTAAGTGTAAGCATAACTTATTCACTTTTTCAATTACAATAACACAGTAAAGAGAAGTGGATGAAATAAATTGTCTTAGAAGTTTTTAACTTTTGATTTCGTAGCAAGTGGTGTATAAACGATATGATGAATAATTCTTATTTTACCTGCACCAAAAAATATGGTTACATTTTGTCAGTATATCATAAATCAACGTTAAATGAAAAAGATTAATTCAGTATAACTTATAACAAAATGACAGGCTCTATAATCAATACAAAAAAATAAAAACTGTAATAAAAACTGATTCTAGAAAAGACTATTGAATGCACCTAAACAACAACATACAATATTCAACCTGTACTCTATTGGTTTCAGTCATGATTTCTCTTAATATACTTCAAATCACAATTTCATGCCTAAACAGTCGATAGTTTGGCCTTATTTCCGAAATTTCTGGCAGTAGAGCATTTTGTGGCAGAAAATGTAAGGCTGTATCGTTAAAAACAGCAAAATTTGATTTGAAGGTGGGAAATTCTAACAATGTACACACTTTACTATACAATGAAAGAGCCTGAAGTTCACAGCAATCAGACATTTTCAAATCTGTTACTCTGCATTTTCTCGCAACGTCTTCCTGACTTAGTACAGATCCCGCATACTTTTCTAAATGTCTGGCAGTCAAATCCATCGAATAGAAATTGTTACCTGGAAATTTAGTTACCGATTAGCCGGATAGCATCGAAAAAACTCCGTACACCACAAAAAACACTGCGTATTTTAAGCGCTACTTCAATTATGTAATGCAGTACTCGGTAAAAGTAAAACAAGAAAAAAAAATACTTGCCTGCAATGATGATGCTTTTAAGTTTTTTTCGATGTGCATAAATTATACTGTTGTATACAGCATGGCCACAATGAGGTGCATAGAATAACACGATTTTTTTTTTGTTCACATCATCATCAGATACTCGACATTCTAACAGATCATTTGTTTCTGATAAGCAGATAGCGTGATCACACAGCCAACGCTGAAAAATCATTTTTCTTATCCTTAAATTTGAAAACTTCAATTCAAACAAAAATTCAAGTGCAAAAACATTCATACAGAAGATTGAAAGACAAGAATACAGAGAAAGAGAATCAGAAAGAAAAGAAGGAGAATTCTAATGTAAAGATTGGAAAGAAAACAATAAAGGTTAATCGGTGATTTCTATGTTCATTTTAATTTGAAAGACAATCAATGAAATTTAAAAACTCTCGACCCAAAACATTTGCTCGAATGCGTAAGCATTAAAACAAATTAATAATTTTACTTTCAAAGTTGGTATGTCTGCTTACCCTTCCCATTTATTTTCTATGTAATTTAAGAAAGTCACTCAAATCTGCGAGTTAGAAATTAGTGTTGGGAAAAAGACTAACGAACTTTTTCCATTTTTGTCAAGCAAGGTTCTTGGAAATGAACTTCACATCCGAAATGATATTTCAGTTCAAGCAACATCGCTAGCTGATCACAACCAGGATAATAGGAACGACTGAAAGAACCTAATCCAAGAGCCCAAATACTTGAAAGTTGACGTCCAGAAAGGGATTTGAGAAGTAAAGCAATAATCTGCTGGCTGAAATGCAAAAACGAATTTTAGACAGTGATTTCCTTGTAGCTGAAAGTAGTCTCAAACCTTTAGAGTTGTCAAGAAGCAAGTTCTCTTCCTCATATCCTAAATCATTTACCTTCTAATTAATATTATTTCTGGTTTCTGGCTTCTCAAATATATAGAATCAGTTAAAGCCTTCAAATCCGATGAGAGCTATAGCTTACACTTGTGCTTAAATCATTCCTTTCTTAATTGTCCACTCTTACATTTATTTCCCCTTGTTGTATGACCGAACATTAGAAATATTTGTAGTCATATAAACCTACTAGACTTCATTATCTATAATATGCTTAACACATAAGGTAACTGCTAATAACTTGTTTTCTCGAGAAGAAAAAAAAACGAATGAATGAAAAGAAGGTAAGAGAAACAACAATATAATTAACAGCTTCACCTGTACTTAATCAGTTCGGTATTGTTGCAGGCATTTTTTATGATTGCATCAATTCTTTCCACGGAAACCTGATCCTCCGGAGAACAAATAGCTGTTGCAACAACCTTCTCACCTCTACCACGAGATCGTCGCCAACTTTTCCTTCCATTTCTTTTCACTACGATAAACTGCTCATTGTCATCAGATGCAAATGTTGTTTCTTTGCCTATCTGAGAGGTCATATAAGTTGAAAGCTGGAAATTAGACAGATAATTATGACTTGAAAAATTACTCTAACATTACAAAAATAAATAACTAATTAAAGGAGAAATATTAAATCAGTTCTTTGGACAAATAAATTTTCATGTTTCCATTATAAACTACCGAAACTGTTCATTAGCACAACAAATAGCTTCTAATCCCATACACCAATCAGCTCCCAATTCAATCTCAAATTAATGTTCACGCAAAACATCGTAAAACGCTGCTTTATTTGAACTGAGTCCCAGAACGATTTTTATCGTAACTTCTGCAACGCAACCGCATCGCTTTTAGGTTTTTGGCGCCTGGGGCGTTAGCGATCAGCGTTTGTATGATATTTGCGTCCAGGGCGTTGCGTGTCGCGAAGCGGTGTTCCCCCTCGCTTGATAATATGAAATTTTGAAAATTATACGGTACAGTTTTGGAGAAATTTATAAGTGAGTTGCAGTGAGTACAGAGTAGAAAGAGAGGATGAGTCATTGGGTTAAGTATGAATTAATTCTTGAATAGTTGATCTACTATGGTATTTTACTTACGTTAGTATTAATATTTGTGATTAATGTGATAAGGTATTAAGTTAAATGGATAGAAGTTTGTAAGGTTAGATCGTCTAATTGAATATCGGAATTGGCTAAATTCACACAGTTATTGATATCACTGCGGTCAATGTTTCCGTTATTTGTTACTATTAGTTATTTGCTTCACTTTCAGGATAAATGCATATCAATGTTTCAATTGTTAACTTTATTATTCATTAACTGATACTACGCTTGCAGGTTAGGATTATTTCAACTATTTGTAAGCTAACAAATTTTTACCTTCCGAACATGTAATAAACACTGAATAAACCTGACGGTGTCATATGTATTTGATTGAAAACAAATCATAAAACCCTCTCCTGAATGATTGCCACTTTTTAAGGGCATCGTTGGTACAAATATCAGGAAAATGAGAAAGAAAAGTTTTCTTCACAAAGAGAGCCTACATTATTCATCAAAAAAACGTACGACAAAAATGTGGAATAAATGAAAAAAGAAAAAAAGAAACGTTGAAATTTCGTTGCAGCTGTCATTTTGCACGCAAGCAGTGATACTGGAAGTTATCAAACCGGTCAATGCCGGAGGACACACGCTGCAGCGTATTGTTTTTAAAGTCCTAGGTGAGTCTATTTAGAATAGTCGTTGAGACCTTTTTTTGTTGATTATGTCCATATTTTCTTACCTTTATGATGTTTCTCAAGATTCAAGTAAAACATAGAAATTAGTGAGCACGGGATACACATCTTATTTTTTTGAAGTATACTAAGGGATTTTTCATGTTTAAGCACCCTATGTTTAGCTGTTTTAAGAATAGGCAAAATCATGATTCAGGACAGTCAGTTATTAACTGTCCTAAGTCATGGCTTCCCCTATTCAAAAAAACTGCGATTTCCAGGAAAACGATCAAGAAATATTGATTATATGCCAGCGGTTCAGATTCAGTCGGCGGTTGGACAGCATACTGGTGGTACTACAACTACTCTAAGTACTGCTATTGCTGTCGGTGGTACACCACTGATTTCAACACCAGTTTTGGATGAAGGTTTCACTGGCCGCTTGATTGAAGCTGTGAAAGCACAACCGTGTTTATATAATCCTAATCATGAACATTATGGGAACAAACATTCTAGTGCGCAGTACAGAATTCAAGTGTGGCAGAAACTACGTGCTGAACTCGGATTCAAAGGTATATTTTGTTGTGTTCTTCCCTATCTTGTTTCTTTTTTATCTTGAATCTTTTTATCGTTCTTTTTTTGTGCGTGAAATTCCATGACAATCAAACGCTATCTTATTGACCTTTCTTACTGTAAACTGCTCATGCTTATATTATATGTTCACTTTGGATTCGCCATCTACATTCCAATATTTTCATGAATTTTTTTATTGAGCTAAATTATTTGAATTACTTACTTTTTCCTTCTTCACCATCTGATTGTTGAGCCTTTTAACAGATGACGCGCACGCGTTACAAATGCAATGGAAGAGAATACGCGATCGGTACGTACGTGAGCGGAGGAAACGACGAAATGCTGATTCGGGTGAAAATAATCAGGTCACACAGCAAATATAGAGTTTCACTTTTATTGGTCTGCGAATGCTTATATCAGGTTTTTTTTTTTACATTTTGTAGATTTTTTAAAATTGCAGGATTCCCTTATCACCAATCGTGAACGTCATGCGTCAGGTGGTTCTAATTGTTCTACTTCAAGCAGTGCCGTTAATATGAACATGTCACCTTCCTCACGACAGTTTACCGAAATGATGCGGTGGATTGAACCATTTTTAGTTGACGTAAGCCGAGTTACATAAAGTATATGTACGCTGAATTCTCTGCAGAGTGTGCATTTTTGATCTAATAGATAAAATGGAAAAAAGAGCAAAAATTGTCCATTTTTTGGCATTTTTTAGAACATGACAAGTAATCTTCATTCTACATCTACATCTGTTGGTGCAGTTGCAAGTTCTTCAAGCATGCAACATCAGCAGATTCAAAATCTTACTTCACAACAATCTAACAGCAGTCAAGGTAAAGAAAGTTTTATCTCCAATCTTTTTGTAAGCGGAAGAAATTCTGCATCTTTGCGGAGTGTCTTGTTGTTTAAACGACATTAGCGAATTTATCCTTTTTGAGAACGAAATGAATTCTGGGTTCCTTAAAGAAATGTGGGTAATATTGTGCGAAGTGTAATGAATGAGTTCCTTTTGACATACAAAATTTTTGTCACTTTTCTTTCACGTCTTGCATATATTGTCTTTCTTTTCTTTGAAATATTATCTGCAATCATTGCACTCCAACTTCTTTCTTCGGTGTAGCAAGATGCAAAGTTCCTACTAGAACAGTCTTCTCTTCGTGTAAATTTATTTTAAAATTTTGAAATCTGAGATATATATAGTTTTGGAAATTTCGCAAAACCGTTACATTCTGCAGAAGCGCCAGGTGGAAGAATACAGTCTAGATTTGCTGTTATTCTAAAATGTCATTTTGATGGTGCAATAACAAATGACAGCACTTAGATAAATGAACCGCATGCTATATGCCTGCTTCTAGTATCATTTATCAGTACAACTGCCGTACATTTTTTTAGACAGCTTATAATTTATTCAAGTAGAGTAAAAGTGTCGTGTAACTTTTCGTTTTCATTTTTTCATAGTACATTTACGATTTATTTGTTTATCTACAACCAGAAAAGAATATATTTTAAGAAATTCACACGTCTTATGAGACTCATAAATTATTAAGATAAAAATCTTTAGTGATTTTTTGCTTTTTCAAGTACCTTGCAAAAATTTTCTTGTATTTCTTTTTTTGAAGGTCAGAATGGTAACACCCTGGCAGTGATTGCGCCAACAGGAATCAGTAATACTGGAACATATTTTGTACAGTACAATGTTGTAGGCAATGTCAAGCAAGAAACTTCTAGTCAAGGAACGTCTGTTAGTTCTGCAGATGGTATAACTGTAAGCAGGTAATCATTTAGGCTTTAAATTGAAGAATTATAAGGTTGTTATATGATTCATTCTCTAAAAATGTTAACAGTTTTTTCATTACAGTTATCAACAAAGCAGTCAGCTCCAAATGGTAAACACACAGGTTTCTTGTGAGTACAATGCTTTGCGAGATCATGAATTATCGAATGGATCGAACGGTGACAGGAATACGAATGCCATCTCAACATCTGCCACAGGTTTCACTTTCAAACAAAACTTATGTGAGTGTTTTAGACGTTTTGTTATCTGCACTAGGTTTCACTTTCGAAATATAAGATTTTTTTTGCTATTTATTTGATCGTTTCAGATGGGGTACTCTTCCTAGTATTTGTTCCATATTTATTTAAAGATACTGAGAGGCTTATTTATTCATATTTTTTCATGATCTTTTTGATTCGCAAATTTCAGTTTTTTTTTTCAATTTTCGTTCGTCAAAAAGTTTACTTCGCTTCCGAGCTTTTATTTTTTTATTTTTTTACGAATATTCAAACCTGCTCTGTATCAAATGCAAAAGGGGGAAATTCGTTCTCGCTATACTTAGAAATTCTTTTAAACATGATTTTTTCCAAGTAGTGACATTTTCTTATATCTGAGGATCGATCTTCGAGGTTTTTGTGGATTAATACTTGATTATGCGATTTTTCGTGGGTAGTACCATCGGTCGTGTTTGAATTATAATTAAATTTCATTATGTTTAAGGGTTAGGTTTTTTAAGATAACGGGAGTCCGTGTTCGTCGACAGCAAGTAGTGAAATAGACGTTGGAACATCCGCAACGACAACTTCACATTCTTGTCAACAGCAAGTTGTTTTGCAACAGCGTCAGCGACAGCCGCTAAGTCAGCATCCGTCGAGTATGGTAGTATTGACTGCCGTTCAATCGCAGCAGGTATTATAAGATACTGGTAACGAAAGTCTCTGATTTCTATTGGGGTCATCAAATTTTATGAAATTCATGAATAAAAAGAGATCGAGCAATCTTTGGATATTTTGAACAGACATGTGAGAAGGCGTAAAAAAAATTTCATTACAGATGACAGATATTTTGTCAACTTTTCAAGTATTTTTGAGCAGTTTATTTTTCTAGATGGCATCATCTCAACAACAACACCAGCAACAACCCATCTTGTTACCTAAAGTAGAACCAAAATCAAGAATAGGACAGCAGTTACAAACGGCCGATGGTGGAGTGGTAACAGTCACCGCACGAGGTGTAGCACCGGTGACTAGTGTAATTAAAAAGGACGTTAACGTCAGGACAAGTAATTTTTACTACTTTCTAGTTAGGTATCATTGCTTTATATTATGTTTGCATAAGTGCAAACATGCGCTTATAATACATGCTAGAGGACTTTGTCATTTCTAGATGATGGTGGCACTGTGACAATGATCATTGATCCGACAACTTTTTACCAGCACGGGTCACAAAAAATGTAAGTATTTGAAAACCATGACTGATTGTAAGATCTTGTTTTCTTTCTTTTTAATTTTACGCGGATTTTTTGCAACTTAAGGATTAAATTCACAAAAATCAGTTCATCGTTTCTGGAAAGGACCCGTTTACTTACAGGTATCGATTGGTGAATGTGTCAGAATTGAATACCGATACAGTATCAGCTAATAACGGCATGTCTACAGTTTGTAGTGAATTGAAGATAATGGGTATTCCACAACGTAGAAAACGTGTTGCAGCGGTTAGTGTACAGGGAATATCAAATGGCCGTGGACAGTTAGGCGATGAAGTTATTCTAGAGGATGGAATTTCCGAAAAAACTGTTACTATTGACCAAGGTTTGAAATAATTTGTTATGCTAGAATTTTACCTCTTCTTATTCACTGAATTGTTGCTTTTTTGAAACAAATTGATTTCAGGAACAGTACCGGGGAATGAGAAGTTAATTATGGATCAACGCTCCGCTGCTACAATTGCGGGAGGCACAAATGTAGTCTTGGGTCATAACGTACAACAACAACAGGTTAGTTTTTCTGATATTTCTGAATTTTTTTTTGACCTATGCCCATATTTTTAATAGTAGACGTTTCCAAGAATCATATTAAATTTCTTTTATTTTGTAGTTGCATCAACAGCAGGTTTCGAACAGCTCGCATTCGCATCCTGGAATATCTGTTTCACCACATCGTGCCGCTGTATTGACAGCACCTCATGCTTCTCAAATGGGCATGTTATGATTTATAATTCCGGATAGCGATACTTGTAGAGACAGTTTTGCAGAAGCTTGCAAGAGCCTGTGAAAGATATTCATTAGTTGAAAACTGTTTTATTTTTAATGTTTTTATTTTTTTCTTTAATGTTTATGAGTTTTAAAATATAAAAAAGGGAAGTTTCCTCATCTTTCGTTTCATTTCTGTTAACCGGTCATAAAATTCGTTTGATTCCAGGATTACAGCAACCTTCATTTTTACCGCTACGACAACAGGCTGGGCATCGATTCGTGACACAAGCTGTTTTAGTCGAGCATCCACATTATGCTGTATTACCAAGCCAGTCGTTGCAAGAAGAACATGATGCTAATCTTGCATTCGCCAATTCAATAGCAAATTATTTATCAAGGCTAAATGAGGATGAGGTTAATTGTCTCATTAAATTTGATCTTGAAAAAAAAAATTTCCTTTTTGAACTTGTATTTGATTATGTTCCAGCCAAAATTCTGCTCAACATTTTCGAATTTTGGCCACTAACTTATTTGATTTTGATCAGATTTATTTGAATTGATTAGACTATGTGCAAGAAAATTGTGGAGCACAGAGAAAATATTTTCCAAAGGTTCGAAATCCTGGTTAAACATTTTGTGGTATTAATTTATAATTTTCTATACTTTTTTAGAAGGCAGTGGCGAAAATGAATATTCAGCGGATACTTATGGATGCACGTTTTGGTTTGGGTGCTTGCGCACGAATGATTCATGATGAAGAATTGAATGAAGCTACTGCTGCAGCTGTGGTGAGCACTGCTTCCCACGATGTTGTTTCGGCGCGGCAGCATGTTGACGGTACTTCACGACGACTAAATTGATCCTAAGAGGGAATTGAAGTCCTTTGGGATTCCTGTTTCTGTAGAGTATATTTTACAAAATATGGAAAAAGAGAGTAAAAAACTGGAGGAATTGGAATTTATGGTTTTTTTCTGGAAGTGTACTTTTTTTCAAATTAGATGAAACCTGAAGTTTAAGAGAACATTGAAGAATGCATTAGCAGTATTTTTATTTTGAACATTATTTCTTTTGTCTCAGGGTTGGTTTGTAATATCTTGTCCAAGCTGTAATATAAATAAGTGTTTTAAGAAGCGGTATGAACTGATTTAATCTTGCATCTCTGTCTATTTTTGAAATATCAAACTCGTACTCTTTGTATTGCTTATACAGAACTTAGTTTTATTTTAGAATTTCGAGGTAAAATCACTTTTATGTTTCCAAATGGTTCCAGTAAATTTGGCTCACAATTTTTTAAATTCACAAGTAATTACAACAGGATACAGCTAGTCATCTTTATCGTTTAAATCGTGCTGAAAATTCCTAAATTTTTTTCAAGATTATATGAACTTGTTATTTGCGTAAGTGGTACAAATTGGTGCTTGCATCGCATCATACAAATTTTTCATATTACATCGTTCTTTTTTGTATAACCTCATGCATACCGCTACATAAATTTGATCTCATGTTGATTGCTAGCTTTTTGTAAATGTGCATTCTTGATGATTATTGCAGCTTTTCTGTTCGAGATTTTGTATTTATACAATTAATTTATCCTATTTTTGCTAGCATATTTATGGGATATCCTGGTACCTATTTTTTGAGCTGTTGTTCTCTACAGTTTTGTAAGGGTTCCTGAGTTCTGAGCTATTTTAATACAAGGTGTGAAATCTTTTAAGATTTTTTAAAAAATATTTTCCGAAGTTATTTGCGAGGCATAGAACACAACTTCGAGAACTACCAGAAAATTAATTTAGAAAAATTACAAGAAAATTTCAAAGTACTGTATTTTTTTCATGTTTCTCATTTTATTTTGTATGCCTCTTCAGTTTATTTAAAAGTCTACGCCACTGCCTTCTTTGTTTTTGCTTTATTAATATTTACGCTTGTCATTTTGTTTGTAGTACTTGTACAGTATTTTGAGGTGGTTGCTTCCTCATTTGAGTGGCTCTTAATTACTTGTTTTAACAATTTGACGTTCATTGCTATTCTTTGAGGTCATTCCGTAAATTTTCTAAGAGGACGAATTCTGAGCTCTTAAAGATATGCTGAAAATCCGGAGTGAATTTTATCTGAACTAGAACCAGCTATTACTTTTTGCTTTTGTCCGATCTTGTTCCTATTTGCAGAATTAGAGCAGTTAAACAACTTTGCTTTTCTTTAAGAAGGTTAGCTGGCCGGAATGGCGCAGGATGCCACTTGCTTGTTCATTATGGATAAACGTTTTGCAGTTTGCTAATTTGCTAAGAAGATTTATTTTATTTTGTTTGCACTTTTCTATTGCATTTTTGTGCTATAAATATGTGTATGTTTACTAGGCGTGGTAGGGGTATTTGGAATGAATGTTTCTTCTACGCTGTTTTATAGAATTTTTCTATTGTACTCCAGATTCATTCAAATGTTATTTTTCTATATATTTGGTTTGATTATTCAACTATTTATTTCTCTTTGTTAAGATACGCCTATGTTAAGCATATCTTTGGATAGGTTTTTTACTAAGGGATCTTAGTGAGATTGGTTGGAAGTCCAGTCTGAAAAAAATTGAGTAAGGATATTTATACAGACATAGTAATCTTTACATTTATGTAGGCGCATCGTAACGCGAAGATTGTCCTGTTGGGTAATATATAACTGTACAGTATTGTATTTTTTTTTATATATGCACAGTGCCAAAGGTATCGCATTTCACTGCGATCATGTAACATATTTTGAAATAATTCAGAATTTAAAGTCTTTCAGTTTTTCCCACTGACTCTGAAGGTTATTACTATCGAGTACATTTTGTTATTTATTGCTAAACACTGTGGATTCTTTTTAGGCTTGACCATTCGTAATTATTGAATTTTCAATCATACAGGAATAGAATCTAATTGTACGTTGAAAACAAGATTATGATTGTAGAGAAGTGAACTTACGATGCCTGGCCAAAATTTCTATATAACACACGTTTTTCTGCCTGATACATATTAAGTTTGGTATCTTAATTTTGCATATTGCAGTCATTTTAATTTTTTCACTTAGGAAATTGCTACGTACATCACAAAGTTATCACAAAGTTACTTTGTTTTAAGCTTTTCTATCCTCATTTTGAAGAAGGGGTATATCAAAAAGCAATTGTCTTAACCGGGGATATACAGTGGTGGATTTAGAAATTAGAGAAACTGATCGTACTTTTCGTGACAAATAAATTGGTGAAATTGCCAGTATTGATTTTGGAAAAAATTATCAATTCAGCATATTATTCAGCATTTTTTATAGTTATGTTCAGCACTTTTATTGGTGGAGATTCTTTCATTGAAGAGTTCCCATCATTATCATATGTTTCTAAGAATGAATAACAACGGAATTTTCACCGGAGAGTTAGTAAGATTTTTGTAACATGTGCTCAGCTGAAGTTAGTGCACTTGCGAAAAGAATAGCAAAGAATTTTGTATTCGTTATAGCTATATTCACACGTGAAATGTAAAAAGGGGATTACATGTGCAGTTGAGTGAAGGAATCATATAATCTGGAAAGTATGGATAATTGTTCTGCAAAGTTGGAAATAGAAATTTTGTATTTTTTCAGTTGTTTATCGACCGATGATGTCTTTTAAAAATATTTTAGATTGCTTTGTATAAGGCAGTAAAGAGATTAATTCGAAAAACGTTGTAAATTAACCTTTAAGCACAATACACATCTTTTTTGAGGTTATCCTATGAGTCTTAAAAAGCGTTTACCGTCTTTTTCATGGTATATACCACTCAGCCCGTTTATTTAAATGTACCATTGATTGTTCCTTGATAATTTCTTCATATTTTATATTGCTTCGCTGCATAAGCAGCTGGTATAATTAAAATTGTTGATTTTATTTCCAATAACAGTATCAGTTTGCAGAAAATAAAGATGGCAGGTGCATTATGCAAATGGGTGCGCACCTGTCCTCGGCTACATACTCCATCGTCGGTATGTGGTGGAATTGCACAATTTATCAGTCAAAAGCGAACAATTGTTGAAAAGAGTAAATTAAAACTTGATCCAGATACTTATCCAGAGCCATGGCCTTATAAGAAGAAGGGGTATGGCCTTTTTCTTCGGGGTTGAGTTATATCGATCTATAAATGTTTATGCAGTTGGAGTTTATAATTGAGGAATATCATCCGAAAGACAGTCATTTATAGTTGGATAAAATTAAAATAAGATGGTATTTGATTTGAGACTTTTCTTGTTCAGATACCGATGGCAGCACGTTGTTATTGATCGGACGCTAAAAAGATTTCATGAAAATTCGAAATTGATAGTGGTTGAAGGGAATATTGGTTCGAAGAAGGTAATTTGTAATGATGAATGATGATGATATTAGCTGAATGTCTTACATGCTCTTTGCCTCAGCTTAATCTGTTCCATAGAACTGAAGTTGTCGCATCATGTCATGGAAGTTTATTCTATTTGGGCCCATATAATTTCGTAGATTTTTTTCCGAAAATTTTTTATAAATGACTTTTTATGATGCAGGCAGAGCATCCTAAATCTTTGAAATTTAATGAACAAAAATATGGTAGGTATCATAAATCATAAACCTGTTTAGTTTAGCTTGTACCTGACTCGTTCGACATGCACTTTCAGATATTATTGTATTAAATTACTGAACTCGTTCCAAAAAGAGCTATATTTCATTCACTTTTGATTACTCGCATTCTCTCTAGGACATGAGTGCGATAGTATACATCAGTGGAATTTCTTTCAAGATTTATATCATCTAAATTATATGAAGGATGAAACTAATTCGACAAAATTAGTTGATGACATATACCACGTTTTGCTTAATTCTGTTCTCTGTCATGCATGATTTTGTTTTAGTCGGATATGGCTCGATCACTTGCAGATCGATTAGGTTTTTATTTTATTCCGGAATTTCAAATGGATGAGATTCTAATAGATCGTTTTGGCAACGATTATAGAAATTACTATCATTTGGTTAGTATTGTTTTTTGCAAGTAAATCAGTTTTTATAAGTTATATTGATGATTTTTTGGATAAGCCGTTATTTATTTGGAGTTATATGTTAATTTAAAAAATAATATAATATCAGGCCTAATGATGGTGAAATTAAATTGATGAAACTATTTTTATGAAGCAAGCATTTCTTCTGATATAATATTGCTTATAGCTAACTCTTTACAAAAATTTTTTTTGCATCTGGAGAAAGTTATATTCTTAGTGATAAATGAGGAACAATATTAATGTTTTTTTCTTATTTCACTCATTCTTTGTTAATTGTTATTGATTATAGTTTCCAAAATCCTTCCGTATGTTTGACATGAATATGTTCTACAAGGACCCTTACAGCGACCAGACAGCAAAAATGCGTGATCGCATTCTTAGATGCAAATTTGATCAATATTTGAACGCTATAGCACATATTATGAATACTGGTGAGAATTTATCTTGTCTCGAATGATTTGTATAAGAATATTTGGTATTTGCATACTTTTATAGTTAGTTTGGTAGGATTTATAACCTTTTTTCTGAATAGAAGAATTTGTTATTGCTCTAGACTCATATCTGAGTACACTCAAAATATAAAATGAGACTGTTTGACATTATTGAACAATTACATCATTCGTGGTCTAATATTATTGATCTCGCCTGGTGATGGAGACAAATCTTTCAATTTATTAAAACTCAGAAAAGTCATTGTTTTTTCCAGTTTTTATAATATGGTATGCTTGGGAAAAGTCAAGAGCATTCATTCTACTCTATTAAGCCAATTTCGGGAAGATAGTAATACTTTCAGAACCAAATTTTATAGAATAAATTATAATCAAAAATAGTATTCCAGATTATTTCGTTGTTTTATTCTGTGATATTGCGTTTTTAGGTCAAGGTGTTGTTTTGGAACGTACTCCGCACACTGATTTCATTTTCGCCAACGTATGTCGAGTTAAAAATTATATTGGACCAGAATGTAAGCAAATTATGATTATCATATTAGTAGTTGTTTGGTTTTTTGGCATAGATATTCGGATCGTTCATGTAATATTTCATTCCTCATTTTCTAATTTTTCACATTGGGTGGTATGATGTTCAGGCACATATACCAATTTTCAGCGTTTTTTAATCGGAGTAAAGAGGAAAGTACAATTTAAATCCAGAGATTGGTAGTTAATCTTCTCAACCAGTTAATATTTTACATTTTATACTTTTTAGATTTCGCCTACTATTACATCGAACGCAAGACGATGATGCCAAATTGCAAATTCTGGCCACATTTGGTCATTTATTTAGATGTGCCGGTAGATAAATGCCTAGAGAATATCCGTCAGCAGGGCAATGTATGTTTTGCATATTATGAATGAATATCTTCTGAATTCTTTTTTTCTATCTTGTTATCAATGTTTGTAGAGTCTTATTGTTTGAAAATGATTGTTGTATATTATAAATAAATGATACACTTATTTGTAATTGCATTTTCAAGATTTTATGGTCTTATAATAAAATTTTTAATTCCAGGCAAACAAGATAGCGGTTGTAGATCGAATCTATTTGCAAACAATCGAGGATTCATATAAAGATGCTTTGAAAGAATTTAGGTTTAGTTGTATTCTTTTTTAGTTCAGAATAAAAAGAATGTATGGGATTTTGTTAAGATACGTTAATGGGAATCACAAAAAGTTTGGAGATGCGAAACCTTTTATCGTTCCTGTTGGTAGTGCATATAATCTGATTGTTATTATAGAAAGCATTCCGAAATTTTGGTTTACGACTGGACGACACCTGGAAATGTAGATAACATTGTAGAAGATATTGAAGATATGGATTTTGACTTCTTTGAACATCACAGAAACGACGTTTTTGGAACTTGGGAACGCGGAAAAAACGAAATGGATTACTCCATTACACGAAATTTGTACATTTTTTTTTCTGCAACGTGTTAGTGTTTAATAGTAATGCACTGAGGGTTTGATGCTGTATTTTGAAGTTAGTTTTCTTTAAAATTAGAATATTTGTACAGCTAATTTATTTATTGAAAAATTAAAACATACAAAGGTGTTTTGATCCTGTTTTGTTAGTAATGAAATAAAACATAGTGGTTGATTGATCAAACACTGAAAAACATTAAAATAATAGCCAAAATGAAAAAATCGAATAAACTTTTAGTGTAACGGACAAAAGAGAAGCACATGCATCTGCATTTATGGGCCTTCCTGAACATGAATGTGGCGAATTATATCAGAGCCCTCGGGAAGTTGGTCGCTACATTCAGTGTATTCATAATGAGGTTAGCCCTTTTTCATTTTCTTCTTACATATTCTTTAAATAATTTGAGTTTAATTTTACTTATAATTTAATTGTTTATTTGCATACTTTCTTCTCTGTGTTTCTCTGATATTTAGAATGTCCTCAGATTTTATCTTTTCTGCTGTTCTGGTTTATTATTGAACAGATTTCAGATTATAAAAACACCATATGTTTATTCAGCAATCAGAAATAACGGTGATAAGTTTGGATGGTTCAGTAAAGTAAGCACATTCACAAAAGGAGAACCATGGTAAGCTGTTTTTATCTTTGTCGCACCGCTAAAGTGGTTTTTAATAATAAATGACATGCAGATATAGCGAACGAAAGCAAACATAGAAATGCAATCCATTTTCAATTTTCCAATTGTAAAAAGCATTAATTTTTGCTTTTTATATTATTTAATTATGTCAAGTTTTTTAAAGTTTTTCCATCTTCTAAACTTCTCTCAAATTTTAATCAGTTTTCGAACTTTATGTAAATTTCAGGTTTGAGTATTATTACAAGGATGCTTATCTGGAAGATCTTGTTGGTGTCCAAGAAGTAATTTCCGATCCAACACATCAGAGTTATTACAATCAGATTCATGATGATCACTAAATTTTTCGAGAATTCTATAGATTAGCACTGTGTATCTCTTTTGTAGAATTTTAGTCTATCGGAATGATTTAAATATGTGATAATGTATAAAAAAATAATGTTATGGAAAAATGATGAAAGCTTATAAAAAATATGGATCGATTAATTATGAAATTTGAATTGGAAAAAAATGACATAGTGTCTGATGCTATTTTGCTAAAGTAATCAGGATTTTTTAACTGAAAAACAATCTCATATTCGAAAGCATATAAAAGGTAGTGAAAAAAAGAAGTCAGGATTTTGAATTGCGACTCATTTTTTTGTGCTGTTCTCACGAGACCCTTACTTTTTTAGCACAATATTTTAGGCTACTTATACTAACTATATGGCTTTAAAATTTATATTTACTTGGTTTTATAAGTTGTTTAGCAGGCAGTCATTTTTTAATCCTATTGTCTTTTTTTAGAATGCACCACTTATATTATCGGATAATTTCTCATACAAAATTATAAAATATTTTACAAGTTTCAGATATTTTGTTTTATATAGCAATCCTATACAGGATAACAAATTTGATGATGTTGATCAATTTTGAGGGGCAAGAGAGTTAGAAAAGGAAAATATAAAGAACTTTGTTGCGAAAATTAATCGACTGTTTGTTAAGACGGAAAATAGTACCAATCATTTACTGTCAAATCTACTGTAGATGATAGAATCGTTATGCATTAATGTACGTATAACAAATAGTCTATTTGTAGAGATATAAATTTGTCATTAGATTTAAACGAATCGAAAGACTGTAAATTACGCAGGACTGTATCGCCTAAGATGAATTATCAATCTAACAATATCATCGGCATTAACGTTTGGAGGACATGACTTGCCTCAATAAAATTCTTACTAAGCAAGTAAATAAGTTTAAGTTAAAGGCTAAACCAATTCTACTGTTCATCAAAATGCGATTGAAAATTATCTTTTCAGAAGATCGATCACTGTTTGTAGAACAAACTAGACAGTTAATGTTCTCAGCTTTTTATTGATTAATGAAAAATTAGCTGCAAATATAACATTTAAATCCAATTTAAACACTTAAAATTAAGAGATGCATTAGTTTCTACTTCAAAACGAAGTAAAAGTCAATGTATCTCATATTTTTAGCAAATATTTATCAATTTTTATGCATTCATACTTGCCAGGCAATGGAATGACAAAGTGGATCATATTTTCGGTCCACATCAAATGGAACGGTTTTAATTAAAATCTAATACATCTAATACAAGTAACAGCGGTAATTATATTTGCAATCATAATCAGAGAGGAAGACATAGTTTCTTAATTTTTCTGTAAACATTTCTGTAATTTTTGCTTTTTAATATTTGGATGTAACTATTTTCATATGTCGTCATCAGTTATTTACAGTTTGCTTCTTACATTTTAGAAGGCTAGAAGAAAGTTAGAAGTAGACTTAGGTTCAATTTAAATGAAACATAATGGTTTGTTGGAAACAATCCAAATTTTAGTTGTGGTAAAATAAACCGAAATGATTTATCTTTCGAGAAAAAATTGACTTGCTTCTCTGAGAAAATAGCACTAACGACTGAGAGAAAGTAGCAGAAATACTTTTCATTTCATGTCATCAGATAGAAATTTGCATAGAAATTTACAAAAAAAATTTTTCTTATAAATGTTCAAAACTAACAAAATATTCATCATTTGAAAATAATGCAATCCTTTCATTCTGGTTCGGATGTGGAAGCAAGCAATGCCAATGCATCGTAATTGGATTTTCTTTTTCAGTTCTCGACTAACTAACCATTATGCACGTAATTGTGACGCGAAATTATGAAATTAAATTTATCAGCACGATGAAGTTACCGTTTATTAGCTGGATTAGATTTTTAATTTGTGCTAATTGCTAAACATTCATTGAAATCTTATATAAAACCATAAGATTTCAATGAATGTTTAGCAATTTATGATTCAAAATATGAAAGAAAAAAAAAAAGCTTTGAGGTTTGCTGATAAGAATCTTACTTGGCTTCATTTGGTCGTATCGATACATGCTGTTCTGACTCTTAGCTTATGTGTTTTCACCGTACTAGGTTATGTTGCCAGTACCGTCCCAATGGCTCTTGTTGTCCTGTTCATCTTTCAAACATTCATTGCTATTGTTGGCCTTGCAGCAATTGAACAAAACCGTCAAGGTTTATTTATTATTTTCTAAAAAATAAATTGACCAATGTGTAATGTAATAATTAATTATACAATTTCTGTTAAACAATTTCCAAACTCATAAGATTTTATGGTATATCGATCTAATTATTGATCGATTCATTTAAACTATTAAATGAATTAAATATTACTTAAAGATTATCGTTCACTATACATAACTGTAAATGCTGTAACTACCGGATCAGCTATTATTTGGTCAATTTATCTCTTCACAAAAAAGAAAGAATATCCAATATATGTGCCTATTGTATTTCTTATCATTGCACTTTTCTCGGTTTGTTCATTATGTATATTAAAATTGTTGAATTCATATTGAATATTTGAATCGATGAATCCATCAATTCATGCAATTTACACGTTTTGCTTTTAATTTTGAAATATATACTTATAGGTTTATTTTTAAAAAAAATTTATACATGTTTTAAAATTTGTTTGTTTTTATAGAGTTCAATTTCTTCTTCCATAAATTTAACCATTAGATTATCGTTCGGCTTTATTACACAATTTTTTAAAATAGTTTCTCACTTTTGCTATAATTATTTTTTTTATTTTAATAAATTTCAAATCTGAGTGTTTTAACTTCATATTTTTGAATGTGAAAATACATTTAATTTTTTTATAGTTGATTGCAACAATTCTACTGGTATTTTTCGCTCAGAGAAAAATACCAAAAATTTTTGAAAAAGTGATATGCTTAAATTTATTCCCTTTTGTTAAATTATTGCATGATAGCAATAGGATGCCGAAGATGGTAAATTTGAAAAGTGAATTTTTTGTTTGAAATTATAAATTTGGCTCAATTTCATTTTTCTTAACTTTTGAGTTCTTTTTTCCATCATTTCAATCTAATATTTTAAGAATACCAACTATAGTTGAACGAAAAATAATGTGAAATTTAAATGTAAGATGAGAGAAATTTTTTTGGTAAAATAAAATTATCATATAATAAAGTTGTTATGCATATGGCTTAACTGTTTTCACTTTTTTTTTCGGTTCCGAAAAATCTTTTGATGATACACAATTGGGTGGAACGAAGGAAGGAAAATCCATGCAAATGATAAGAACAAAAGAAGTGAATTCTAATGAGTCACTGAATGACCAAACGAGATCTATTGAAGTGAGTAATTTTAACTGTAAATTTTAGAACAACAAATTGTTATCTGTCTTAGCAAAGAAAAAGCTATCAAAAATTGAGCTTAAATTTGCATGTTTTGAATCTTTCATAAACCTATTTTCAGTCAAGACAGGACAGTTCGGAATTGAAAACTGGTACTACTGTAACTGAAAGAGTGCAGCAACAGCAACGGCAGAATATATCAGAGACGAGAAGTGACAAATACGGTAAAGAATCAAGAACAGCAGCCGGAGCGGAAGAAAATGCTGGTAAGAATTCACTTCAATTTCAACAAACAAATCTTCAAATTTGACGTCAATATACGTTCCATCTGACTCAATCAATTGATGAAATTTCAAGAAAAGATAAAAACAACTGAAATTGTTGTTTTATGATGTTTAAATAATAATTGGTGCATTAGTTTTGGATATGATCTTTTTTTCAGTGAAAGTCACAATGGAAATTGATCAACTGGAAAAAACATGTGCTGAAAGAAAAAGTGGCGCTACATTATCATATGTAAGACATTCATCAGAGGTATATTTTTCAGCTTCTCACGTGATATGTGTGATCTACTAAGACAAATCAGGCTTAAATAATTCTTTTCAGGGACGTTGTCTTGTGATTGGTAGTAATTGGCGTGAATTTTATTCAGTACCAATCTTGAATGCATGCAATGTTGCTCTATGCTCAACCGGTCGAATTGGTCGTAATCGTTTGCGCAGAAGACTGCTGATCAAAAAGTGTCGTTACAAGTAATCTTTTCCTAATTTTTAAGAGAATAAACTCGCTCAGGTTAACTTAGAAAAATATGGAATTTTTCAAATTTTTTTGCTGAATAATTTTTAGAAAAAAAATACACCGAATTATTCCGAAATTTTCACCACTGGAAAAGAATATATTTGAGCAGTGTCCACAGAATAATGCGACCAAAATTTGAAAAAGTAATTTATTCATCACTAACATTTAAATGAGCAACTCAAAAAAATATTAGCAATCAAATGATTGTAGCATTTTTGTTTTCTTCACATAATTAATAAAACTGTTTTCTTGTCTTTCGCTTAATCATTATTTGATTTCAGGATGAAATCTATGAAGAAAGGCTTTTAAGATTTGGAAGTTACTTTTTTACTTGGAAGTTACCTTTGATCTATCTCTCTCTTTATCAACATTTCCATACCTTTCTTAATACTGCCCTTTTTTGTTTATTTAAAATAATAAAATGATCAGAATGAACAAATCATTATTTCTAATGTCCACTATTGACTTTCCTCGATGACATCGCGGTGATTATATGAGGGAAGAAAAAACAAAGTACAGTAGAAACGAGGAAATTTCGTTCAAATGGTAGCAGAGTGAGAAGGAAATAGAACATTTAATTGGTAGGTAACAGGTCAAATCAAAAGTTAAAGATACTGAAAAAACGAAACGGAACTTGATAGAACTATAACTCTGGTGAGACGATAATTTTCGTAGTGGCTAATCAGTGTTGCATAAAAGGAGGTCAAGAATACGCGGCCTTTTTGACTGCGATTAGATTCTGGGCAAAATTTATTGGAAGTTGAGGTTAAAACTAAGTAAGTTGAAATTGAAATTGAAGTTAAAGTTCGAGGTAGGAAGTGAAGTTGGTGTTTCTAAGTTAAAATTAAGGTTATTGAAAGTTAAAGCTAAATAGCAGGGTGGTATTAGATGTTTGATGTGAAAGTCTCTTTATATTAGTACTGTTAGGAATATCAAATAATTCTTAGAACGGCACGGTAAGAAAAGAAGAAAGAGAGGGATAATATCTTGACCGTATTATCGCATTATTACTTAGCTGACTGTTTTCCTTCTCGGGTGGTTTGTTTCAATCAGTTCGATTCATTTCTGTTGAGTCATTCAGTTTAAGCATAGTTTATTTCATTTCATTTTATTTTATTGTCATTCTGCCAGTTAGTAGTTGATGGTGATATGCATTCAAGTGACCTAAATGTTTTGATCTAATAAAAAATAATTTCAGGTTTTCTCTTAGATTAATTTGTTGATAATGCAATACTAGTAGAAAAGAAGGAAATCGAGAATTGAAATGGCAGACAATACCACTGCTCAAACGTCAACATCACTTTCTTTCTTCAGCGATAGTTTCATCGTAAAACGGGGCAAAAAGCCGCTTCGTTCATTGGAATTTATTTTGGATTTGGAAGATGAAAACAGCCGTTCACGACTAGAGGTTTTTTGTTTATTTTATGAATAATGTAGTGAAGGTAACAAAATTATAGCTTTTGAAGTTTCTATGTGGTCTAGTTGTATTTTTAAGGCTTTCTACGCTAATATAATTGTCGAAAATTTGTTATTCCTTAGACTTGAACTCAAATTTTTTTTATTGAGATATAGCAGTAGTTAATTACAGAGAGACATCAAGTTTCTTGGTGGGAAAGTTTTGGAATCGCTTGATGATGATGGTGAAAAACCTTTCTGTATTGTTACCGATCATCCACATGCACAGTACTTGGAGAGAGTAACGAAAACGAAAAGAATTACACCTGAGGTATGCTTCAATCTGTATTTTGCTTGAAGAGGTGGACTTATTTTTGATGAAATCACCTGTTCTATACGTTCTGGAAATACTATTAGTTTTTATATATACTCTCGTTAACAATTATGCAATGCCTTACTTTGTCTGCATTGATAAATTGTGTTGCTTTTTCGAATTGTTGAACTTCATAAAAACAAAACATATATAATATTAATTTCATGGAAATACTGTTAATTTTTATGCTCATATGTATCTTTTTAGTGCTGCAGCGCCCTTCCAGTATTGCTTCGAGTTGCTGTACAGAATGGTGTCCGTGTTCGAACATACACGTCTTTTCTGCAAATCTTATCAAATGTGAAAAACCGCATTAAACTAAACCAGAAAGCTAAATTGGCGCCCGTAAAACCGAAACTTGAAAAACAGGTATGTTTGCTTCAACAGTATTTCAGATGTTTTAGAAGATACCTGCATGTTCCATTAAGAGTTGAGCAGAAGTATTCTTGATTGTTTGCATTAGTGTGAAGAAACCTGAAAATTAAACGATCGTGAATATTTAATGTAGATCATGTCCTGAAATTTCTGCTAACAGTGTCACCGTCAAGTCGTTACTTTAATCCATATGTGCATGTTAAAGTGTAGGTTCCTGAAAACGTTTAGTCTGGCAAACAGTATTTGATGTTTGCTTTGATTCGATACTGGCAATTCGTTGTCTTTTTCATGCCATGATGAAGTTCGTGATCTTAATAATGAAATGAGAAAGACAGAGGAAATATAGAGTTTCAGTCGTTCGTTTTTACAATAAAAGGTATTCACTATTGCATATACTTTGATTGTTACATATTTGAATTAATCATTAAATGTTGTTATTTGATTCAAATGATAAGTACCTGATTCTTTGCATTGTTTTCATTTTACAGAAAAGTATACGCAGATTAACACCACCATTCATTAAACTTGAAGATAACAGCCTCCAATATGCACCTTCCTGGAAGGAGTATGGAATACCGTCTAATTTTCGACCGATTTATATTGGTGAAGCAGCTGGAAGGTCGATATTTCATAAAGCTTCTCCGGAATACCTAGAGCGAAAGTACTGTTTTTGCATTGATTATCAATTCCAAATCTTAATATCTTCTATTTCCAGCAAATCATTTCCCTTAGCAAATTGTTAAATCCGATGGGAGAGCGGTGGAACCGCGATATAAACTGGGCATTACTTTTGGTTTTATTTTTAACACTCTTAGTCAATTTTGTTTTTTCTTTTTTGTATCGTTGAGGAATTTCCACGTTGAACTAATGAGTAATCCGAATTTTCTCAGGAAGGAAACAAAGATTTCGAAACCTCGAGCAAAAAGTCGAGTTGGACCTGGATTTTGTGATATTTGCACACGTGACTGCCAAGATTTGCAGTTGGTTCGTTTAATTTTTAGGGGAGTATTCTAACTTTTGGGGAAGTGTTTTCATCACTTTTCTTCAAATATCACGGGATTGGAGTTTCAGTGGAGTTTGGATGTTTGGTCTGTCATTTTCCTTGAATTTCTGGTCTGGTAACTGAAATAATACTTCGTAGATCAGTGAAGTGCCATCATGACTAAGTCTAGAAAATAAAATTACTTGATGTAAAGTTGCAGTTCCATGTTTGGCAACTAAAAGTTTAGGGAGTATCAATCCTCAAATATTTTAATTTCAGCATTTTTTATGCAAAGAACATCAGACACGTATCAGTACTCCGGGTTTTTACGATGAGGTCGACGCATTGTGCGGTTCGTTTGTGAAAGAAATCATTGTGCCGAATAAAAGACTTCGAAAACGGTTAACACCGGAACCGCTTTCAGTTCCGTCCAATTATTTTCCTGACTCGACATTTTCGTTTGTTCGAGCATCTGATAATAATGTTGAGATCTAAACGGGTTATTTGCCAATGCATTCAGGATATTTTCCTAAAATTCCAATGTTTCTGACTTGTTTTTGTTCCTTCAAAAATCAAATAAAAAATTATGATGCATTTTCATTGCAAAAGTTTTTATCAGTCCGTGTTTTTCTGTGCTTTTGTTTTTCATTTACCTTTATAAAGTTGAAATTTTTCTAATTTTTTTTAAAGTGAGTTGTTATATTTTTCCAAATAAAGTTTAATGATATTTTCGTCTGCAGCACAGTTGTGATTTATTTATATCTTCTGATTAGTGAAATCCCGTCTAAAAATTCTCACATTTTATTTTTTCTTTTTTTCTCCTTTCTTTTCCTTCATCGATTTTCATTCATTGCTAAAGTGTTATTGATGTTTTTTTCTGATATATACCCTTTTGAGAGATTGCATATTTTTATTGGAACCGCACGTACAAATTAATTATGCTCTCCTGACCTTGAATCATTATGTTATAATATTTTTTGATCATTGTTGCGCAAAATTATTTTGTTCGGGATATTTGGAATGTTTATGTTTGACCTATTCGTTTTCAATAAACATTAACCATTTGCTGATTTTGAAGGTCACTGCTAATGATTATTTTGGTGAATGTCTCTGGCATCTGGGAGTTTTTCTTAAAAAATTATTGAATTATTGAATCCTGACTTCTGTATCGAGAGATTTTGATGTGAAACTTTTCCTAAATGATTGACGAAAGTTGCTAGTGTAATAGGTGCTGCAGTACTACCAATTTTTTCTTTAGAAGACGGAAGATGTGTCGCATTAGTTGCAAAATTTTATGTGCATAATATGCTTGAGGTCTTTAACATTGCTAGTTTTGGTAAATGGGTTCAAATTTTCCAGAATTTAATTCAAGAATGTGGAAGAGACATCACACTAGCTGGCAAAACTGCTTGTTCCAGCTTCTAAAAAACTAAGTGCAGTGTGGAATAGGTGCCAGCCAGAAGTGATTTATTCACAGACATATATGTTCACAATCTATATCAACTGAATCCGCAAGCGAACTTTCGATTGAAGTTTTTCCCACTTACTCGGAGATTTCAGAATTAGAATTTTGTCGCATTGCTGTAAGCTGATATTATAATTTGTTCTATCGACGGAGTTAGGAACTCTTAAATATTTCGTTTTCAAATATCGCCGTGTTTGAGTCTTGTTATTGTCTTCAAAAACTAATTTTATTTCGTTAAGTTCTTGAAGATCACATAACTTTCAATTTACTGGCCATAGTAATTTTTCCGAGTGTGCCAGGCTACTTATAGCATTAAAAAATGTTACATGACAGTATTCTCCGACTGGAGGTTTGAAACGGTCCATAGTGTTATACTATCGTACTACAATGGCAGTGGATGTGGCTCCGTTTATTATGCATTAATATAAATTACTAATGGCGATCAAATTTGTACAGAGAACATACTCAATTTATTCAGAAAATTCAAACTATAAATCAATGTGAACACGAAGATATTACATAAAATGATACATATGAATACTGAAAAGACTGAGGATGAGATGCATTTAAGAGAATGTGTTACTCGATTAAGTGTATCTATTTTCCTTGTCATGTGGTCAGTTCTGAAAACCTCGAAACAACTTATTGCACAATAAATTCAAGTACAAATAGATGCTTCGATTATTTGGTACTCGGAACCGGTATCTCATATGAATGTATTATTTGTGAATTTTCTAGGGTATGAATGAACCCGTACAAAAAAATACAAATAAAGAATGTCAATCTTTTTTTAACAAAACATAAATTCTTACGACAGTTGGGAAGAAAGGTGTTTGAAAATTTGAGCTGAAGCTAAAACGATCAAGAAGATGTCAACATAAAATTGTTGACCTTATGCAGTTGATGTATGAAATAAAATTTGGAATAATCAATCACTTGGAATAGGCAACGGAATTCGAATGCCAAACACAACTTCAAATTAGTTTTAGTGCAAATAAAAACGGTATGAAGAAATGAAATGAATAATATAAAGATAAGAAATAAGAAAATATACATTTCATATTTTTTTCAGAATTTAGCATCCAACATAACAAGACACGTGAATGTGCAGAAAACTGCAGCATGGAGTGAAGAACAGGACAGAACAGAGGCATGTAAATGAAATGAATAAAAGATGTTAATCAAACATCTTTGGATATCAACAAACACATTAATTTAAAATTAAATTCATTCATGCAGAGAAGGCATTTTCAAAACATTCATAACAGTAAAAAGTAAGCATTGAGTAATTAAAAATCAACAAATAAAAATACACATTGTTATTCCGCTAACAATAACAAGCACAGAATTGCCTAAGCAAAATAGAAATTGGTGTATTTGATGAACAAATAATAGTGAAAATCTGATTAACAAGCTAACAAATATTAATACATATGTATGTAAAAAACTAATAGAACATATGGAAATAAAGCAAAATAGTGAATAGAAAATTGCAATGAAAAACGAAGAATTACTGAACGTATATGTAAGCAAGTGATAGATCAAAGTGCATTTATGAACTATTGATTAACAATAATGACATGATGACAACAAAAAATAAGTAGCACAACTACTGTCCCAAATTTCTTATTATTTAATGGAATTAAAAATTTAAGCCACAACAACAATCAACATTGAACTGTAACGCTTTACGAATGAGGATGAAGATTTCAGAAACAATTTTTATCTTAAGAAATATGCCTGAGCAGTAAGCGAGAAAATTGGGAGCCCTGGAATGGTAAAATTGGAGGCAATGAATTTGGAAATTTAAATCTGAAATCTATGAAGATAAATAACGTATCAGTTTTATCTTCCAATTTAGGATCAATTTAAGCAGAAATTTAAGCGTATTTGTTTTAAAATTTTCAAAGATTTTTAGTATTTAAAAAAACAACTCTTGAAATAATCAAATCAAAAGAAATAATGCAAACAAGAAAATATTTTAAAAAAAGCTTCAACAACATTAGAGCATAACTGCACAGGACGAGGACAGAATGAAAAAAAAAGAAATATTATTTACAGACTGAGGATGCTGATAATACAAGCACTGATGATGTTCCCTAAAATGATTGAGATCAGATGTGCTGATTAGAGCAACAAGATGGTAATAAATAATCAGCAAACAACATCAATAACTGGTAGTAATGAATACAAACTTCTTCATGAGTCATGAGGAGCATTCTCAAAATACTTTCTATCATAATGATAAAATACTTTCTCCTATAAATTCTAACAGAGCATTACTGATATTATATGATTTTTTGTCAAATACAAAATTATCTGCAAGAAGGCTCATATTTTGATGTTAATTCACATAAATTCTAATAGAGAAACTTGAAGGAGAAGTCCCTTATTAGATTTATCCTTTCATAAACAAAAAACAAAAAAAAGTGATTTTAACTTCATGGTAATATGAAGCAGTTTCTAAAATCTCAACAGTTCCGGTTTACTAAAATAAATGATAGGAAGACAGAATTAAATGATAAGAGATTTGAAGGCGATATTTGTGATGTTTCAAATCCAAATACTGAAACTCATATTAAGCATATTATAAGTCAAAATTACTTTAATATTCAAGAAGAAATCCGACAAACCCGAACAGCTTTAACATTTCGCTCTAAAAGACGATCATAATGCCATCATTTCACTTGTTCATTTCACCTACCCCTCGAGCTGGCGAAGATGGATGGGCGTATCTTGCAATCTGGGAGAAAAATATCATCACAACTATTCATTTACAAATCTGTTCATTTTCTATTTGTCACCACTGGATTCGTGAAATCATCCACACTTTACCAAGTTGGAATATTTAAATTGTCCATTGTGGCTATTCGCTACTCTTGCTGATGTGTTGCTGGTGACGACGATGGTAACAATGTTGTCGAGTGCACCAGACGTGGATTTTTCAAACGTTTCAAACGTTTCGAGTAATTATATCGCAGTTGTTTCCATCGTTTTAGATAGAATTTATGTAGTGTTAATCCAGATTGACCAATCAGTGACTCATCCTCGTTAAAAGTTCGACAATTTTCAAAAATTTGCTCTAAGTCTTCGATAAAACTCTCCTGCGTCATGTATCTGAAAAAATAAAAAGAAATACAGCATTATTCAAAAGAAAATCCTCCATATGGCATCCTCCGTACTGCTTTTTCTTTTCATGCCTCTAAAACACACATTCTGAAAACTTAGGCACAACTAAAGAACTAACTTATTATTTTCAACATTCATCCGCATTTGATTCAAATCCATCGGTCTTTTGATAACTTTTTTATAGAATGGTACTTCTTTAGTATCAACAGGATATTGAAACGGTCCTGATTCAGGTTTCGCCCATAGCTCGTCCAGCATCGTACTGTAATTCTAGCACTTTTGAAACTAAATGAAATTTGACAGAAAGTGTATGGACTAATCTCAAAAACTATCCTGTTTCAATTGTCCAACAAAAGCATCTTAAACTAGAAATTTGAATTCAGATGCGCAGGAACATTTCGAACGTACTTGAAAAGGTTTTTCATCATATCTAAAGGGAAATCGTAGTCTGCCGGTGTCATTCGTCGCCTATGTCGTGGAGGTTCCTGACGTCCGCTTGCATCTTCCTGTACGCAACTAGTTTGCTTTTCCTGACCTTCCTGCTGAGCAAGTGCTATTTCTACATCACCATTTAGAAGAGAATTTGCGAGCTCTGTTGAGAAACCATCAGCCTTAAAATTGTAACTAAATGATTAAATCTAAGAAAAACCAATAATTCGCATATTATTGGATGATGAATAAAAGATATTGTCTGAAAAGCAGATGAATATTTGAGATGAATATTTGATATTAGTAGAATATCACAAAGACAAGACCACAGGGTTTACAAAAACCAATGTGAAAATTCAAACAGTGTCGTTTGCAATAACGCAGGTCAAAGCTTACATTGAGGCACCCTGGACATGTCCATTGTTTGGGATCATTAAGTGTTGGTGAACGATCAAAACAGGATGCATGATAACCATTGTAACATTTTGAACATACAATAATCGGTTCCAGAGGTTGCGAATTTGGGCGATTCCATTTGGCACAAAGAAGACAAAGCACTTTACGACAGGCTCGCTGAACACATAATGGGCAGTACCACTCACCATCTGGAACTGTAGCTATTCGTGGCTGAAAAACATAAAGTTGATAGTTGTAGCATGATTGCGAATACTCTTTCCTAGTCCAGCCCTTCAAAATCTCAATTTTCGAAATTTCCATAACTTACACGGAAGCAATACATGTGATAACCCATGTCACAAGCATCACAAAGTAACAGTTGGCTTTCATTTTCACTTGTTCGACAAATCTGACAACTTGCTTTCATTATCGATTTTTCCCATGCAATAGCTGAGTCCAATGCCTACAATTCATTGATAAGTAATAAAATCAAAGATTGAACCCGCTAATTGAAATTAAGAACGCTAACTGAAAGTATTAAAACCGGAACATGCTTTTATGTTGCATCTCTTTAATCCTCCGTGATTCATCTGTTTGCACTATGCTATTGAATTATTTTACATGAACATGAATTGCTCTCCGATAATAGACTGGATAATCATTTGCATCCTTTATTATAAATAAGTAATGAGAAAATATACAGATTAGATGTAAAAGATTTGTTTTGATAGTAGTAGTTATTCAAAACTAACCTGCAACGCGAACATAATTTGTCCGCCAGTTTTAGCCTCCTGAACGTAATCACGCCAACGCTGCAAAAGTTCGGTATTACCACTTTCATCAACCGTAATAGCAGCGCCACCAAACGGACAATTAGAGTTAGTTGAATCACTAGCTTCCGACTGGACTTCATTAACATCCACAATGCTACTTGCATCTGCACTGTTACCATTTTGATTATTCTGTTGTTGAGTGCGCAGAATCTTCTCAGCTGGTATCGTAGAACTGAAATTAAATGCCATAATCCTATAAATAGTATCAATTTTGAAAAATTAGTTATGTTTTGACGAGATTTTGGAAGCTATTTACAATGAACGTTCTTATATACATGAAATAAAAAATAGTGAACAAATACGCAACGTATAAGTATACCCTCTTCAAAAAATAGTACTTGGAATCAAAACTGAATATTTCACATTGATGGATTTTAAAGTGTAACATTTATCAATGTCGAGAAAGGATGAAAAAAAAAATTAATGGGGTAAACAGGATATAAACTTTTCTTAAAAAATTTGAAAAAACAGTATCAAATGTGTATTTGTTTCAGTTACCACTAACGCATTTTAATGAGCCACTGTCAGTTTTCTTTAGAAACAAGAACATTAAACGAATAAATTTTTACCCTGCATAATAGCGATGAAGCAAATACCGACGCTCAATACTTTTCTCGACTTCTAAAAGCCGCTCTTTTAGCGCCTTGAAATCATCCCATTCATACAGTGGACATCCTTCATTAACTTCTGCTTCATCAGTCAATATATAACCATCATCCAAAGTCCAAGCATCCAAACTATCTTCACTCTCTGTATCATCATCGCGATTATCTCCAGTTGGAAACATTGGCTGAAAGAACTTGAAAAGCTTTTTTATCAAGAGTTATGAACTCAGCTTGAAAATTTTGAAATAGCTGAATCCATTTTTTTTCCTATATTTATTAAATGGAAAATTTTCTGTAATGAAAAAACAAATTTAATCCGAAGTTCAAAAATTCACTTACTCGACAATGGACATTAGCGGCCACAACTTTCTGTTCAAACGATGAGATAAGGGCAGCGAGTCTTACTATCATTGCTTTGTTGATTTCGCTGTTTGTCAATGGACGACTAACACGCTCCAGCTTTACTAAAATTTAGTGATTTCAAAAATGTAGTACTACAAAAACGAATAAAAAGCATAATAGACAACAGGAACAAATTTGCTTGTCAAAAGAGTAAAGAAAACCAATATGTCTTGAGAGAATTGTTTGTAGCAATGATATCCGGTTTAAATCATTGCCACAAAATCTTCAAAACTCCACTGCAATAGATATGGAATATGACAATAAATATCTTATAAACCTATGAAAGACTGCTACATAGACTGGTAAAAACGATAGATCTTAATTTCTAAATACTCAACTATTGTGTGAATCCAACAGAGCGATCCGATGTCTAACACTGTAGATTGTTTCCGGTAAGCTGTCACTTCTGGCATGGTCTCAGTCAAGGATGCAACTATTAATAGTCGGATATTTGGTATGATATTTGGACTACTGACACCGCAAGTGCAAGTTTTTTCAATAAATAAAAATAAAAATTATAGTTTAAGAATAATATTAAACATTTCTTGCAAGTAACATCTGCAGAGATAATCATACTTACACTGAGTACTTGGGTTGAAGGTGAAATTGTCTTTAATAAGCAAACGATGTAAAACCCGTTCGCGTATACCTCGACCGTGAAACGCACCTCGTAGTTGCTCCATCAGTTTCCCATTTGATATCATCCACCAACCACGTTTGCATTTGTTATCCAGTCTGCGCAAACGTACTACAAAAAAAAAACTTTGGAAAAATGTGGTTTGAACTAGAAATAAGATAAAATGTGAATGAACATGAATTTGAAAAGATGAGCATTTAAATTTAATCTCATTCAGTCCCTGCATTACAATGAGCTCGAATATACCCTTTTTCCCTCTGTCTGGGCGTTCTTCATTGCCACATAAAGAGTCCAAGATATCTTCCAAACAAGCAATGACATCTGGATCGACGAAATTTTGCGGATCCTCTGCAAAACACCAAAATTTAAAGATTAATTTTATATCACTTTACAAACTAAAGGAGCAAACTGAAATATTTATGGAAACTTGAAACTGATTAAATTAAATAATAAAGAACCAGTAATGGATGGTGGATCCTGCCGGCAAGTAATATCTACGTTAACCGCTGGATTATGGAGACCAGATGAAGCAATGCTTTCTACCAGAGGAACACCAAGACGTGGTAACACCCAGTAAAAACGATGAAAACGATCCTGCAAGTGGTAGAAAATGAAAACAGCTAAAAAATCTAAATAAACATAAGATGCAAGGGAATTAAATAAAATAATTGATGGAAAAATAAATCAAATAAAAAAGACATAAAGTGGAGTGAAAAAGGTAGTAAACAAAGAAATGCATTTCTTGACAGACCAAGATTAAGCTACTGTCAATGAAATAAAAATAAACATTTTCATTTTTAGATAAAACAAAAAGAAAAAAGAATATTCTTCTAACAATACAAATACAGTGGGTTGTTTCACTCTACAGAAAACAGTTCTTTTTTTTTTCTTTTCCCGAAATCCAAAAAAAATTGTCTATTTATCATACCTGTCCAATAGGTTGAATGCGTACACGATTGATCAGTGTATTGTGCCTTTCACGTAACTCTTCCGCTTCATTATTGAGCTTTCCGATATACTCATCCAATTCATCAACGGTCATTGCCTCTTCCTGTAATAATTAATGAGTAATTATTATCCTAAAGGTAAATTAGAAATGGTTTAAGCATCCAACAACGTATGTCAAAATTACACACAGGTTTTTGTAAACATAAACAATTTCTAAATAAAGAGCAAAAAATAATTCCAAGGGATTCAAATTAAAATCTTAGAATTTATGAATTTTCAGCCATCTCCAATTTTTACTTCTTCAGTTAAGACATCGCACTGGCCAAGTCCTGGTGTGAGCGCTTTCAGTCGCGACGGTTGCAATGCCGGTTCCACTTCCTCAGAAACATCAGAACGCTCCGAACCAGGAGTACCGGCTCGGCTAGATGAGGCATCATCATCCTTGATATCATGTCTCAACTGCAATTTACAAAATAACATCTGTCCTTCACCAAAAATAAAAAAATTATGAAATTTGGCAAATTCACTAATAAAAAAAGTGAACAAGGATAAAAAACACGAATAAGGATAGCAAAGCTTAATCTTCGGGAATAACCCCACAAACAAACTCTTAAAAATAATTTGTAATAGATTTCACTGGATTACACAATATTTACGATGTAGTAAAAGGTGTTTAGATAGTGTAGTAACGTTAACCGCATTTGAAAAAATCTAAACTTACTCGTCTTAGTGCCGCTCGCTTTCGTGTCTGCACTGCTCGCAAAGCACGTGATTTACCTTCACGTAGCCATTTTTCACCTTTTAACCGTGTCATTTCTTCCATATTTGATTCAATATCACGAACAACATTTCGGCAGTACAGCAGTTCATTGCACAGAAAAGCTAAGATCGCAGCTTTTGATTCTGGATCTAAACATTCGAACGAACAACACTCCAGTTTGGCACCAAGCTGAAATTAATTATTCTGCTGAAATGTTAAAAAAACGAAACTTGAATTTTGAGTTCGATAACAAATTGATCACTCCCAGTCATTGTAATGCAAATGACAGAAACGAATTTAGAAAAGGAATTATAGCGTAAGTTAAAATATAAGCCAGCAAACCTTTTTCCCTTCTTCATCACGCGACAAAAGAAACATCTTCAGCAGTTCTGAATAATTCTCTCGATGGACACCTACATCTTTAAGTGCTTGTCCGAGAGGAGTTCGCCCAGCAATTCCTGATGGCAGCCCAGGATATTCGAGAACCAATTGCAGTAAAATTTTAGTAAGTAACAGGAAACTTTTGAGATGATTTGGATGATTTTGTAGACCTGCCAGGAACTCGTTTAGCGTCGGTATTGCGTTTAGATCTTAAATTTTACTCTATTCTCTTTTTGAAAAAAACATTGATGAATATTACAGAGGTTTCGTTCAGTTTTAATGTATGTAATGTCAATGATCCTGTATAAATTTTAAGAAATGATTTTTCAATGAGATTTTAAGATACAAAAGATCAACTCACCAATTTTTAAAACATGACCGAAATTACGTACAAATTCATCAACCATCAAAACATTAGCAAATGCCTGCGCACTAATAGTAAGATTTTCGATAGAATCAAGTGTAGGCAGTTTCTAGAAACAAAAATTAATGAGCGGTCCAGCAATAGGACTAAAATTAGAACTTCAAAACTCGAAACCTTACGATTTGAAGTTCAAATAAGACTATAAGATCTTTTGGATTTTCGATTTTGGAATTAACAAAAATTACTAATTGTACAAACCCGTGCTTCCTCGATCAAAAGATCATCTGTCGGTAATCGAAGAGCTTTTAGACGTTCTTCTTGTTTTTCTTCTTCACTCAGTTCTACCTTTGGCAGTTTTGCTTCCACAGTTGGAGCAGTGCAGGCCGCAACAGTAGAAGTGGTGGTAGGGATAATAATATGAGAAGAAACATTATTAGCAATAGCAGTAGCAGTAACGGGAGTTGTAACTGATATCAGTGAAGATGCTGCGTGCCGTGATGTTGTTGATTCAGACCGGTCTAACTAAAATTATATGGTGCTGATATGACATTTGAGGAAGTTGAATTTCAATAAAAATAAAAAAAGTTGATTTCCTGGCCTAATTTAATATGATTTATATTAAAAAGATTGAGACGAAATAAAAGTAGACTTTAGGTTTCTTAATTTGAGGTTCCACTTCAACTGTTGATTTTCCTTCCACTGTAATAACCGAAGGCTGTTGTTTTTGTTGTTGTTGCTGTTGATGATGGAATTGACGTTGTTGTTGAACGTGCTGACCCTAGGATCAAAAAAGAAGATCAAACAAATAACTACTAAAAGAATAAAACGGAAAAACAAATGATTAAACAAAATAATCAAATAAGTTCAACAAATATTTAAATAAATTTCTTAAAAGAATATAATTTTGTATTTGCTTATTTTTTCTTTTTTTTTCTCTATCACTCTTTATTTTGAGCAACACACCTTCTTGTGATCATACCAGATTATAGTTATACGTGAATCTTTTAAAGCACCGATATCATCAAGTTATCTGTTTAATCAGTTCCAATTAATAAAGCTACTAATGATAAAAAGGTCAAATTACCAAGTATCGAATTCGTGTAATCAGCAAATACTGGTATTTAGCCATTTCGCATGGGATTTTTTATTTAAATTATTGAAATCCTACTTTTAAAATTTTCAATTCAGGAAAGTTGAGAGAAAGTAAGGTTTCGAAAGAAACTTACAAAGGTAAGCAATAGTTGCGCATACATTTGTTGTTCTCCTTGACGCCGCAAGAATTGCCGATGCAACTGCTTCAGTGCATTATCGTCAGTTAATTTCGGTAAATTCTTATCAGCTGACAGGGCTGCAATAAATTTTAAGATGAACCGTAAATTCCTCATACATCTGGGACGATAAGAGCCTTATAATACAAATAGGCTTCGTGTTCCCTTAAATAACTATATGCTCCTTAATATACTTGTTTTTGGGATGCAACAAAACATGACTGTCAAAAGTGTTTGATGATGTTTGGTGGTTATGACACTATACATCAGACAGGCTGAAATGTCAAACTATGTTAACTTTCAGTTAGTTACTTCAACTTTGTTACTTTAATTACAATATGATCTAATCCTAAACAAAATAAAAAAACTCATTAATCTAGCTATGTAAACTTACCAACTGTTCCAGAAGGATCAATTGTTCCTGAAGAAAGGGTTGCTTTTACATGGGTACCAGATGTTCTACGAACAGTATTAGTAGCAGAACAGTTAGCAATTTCAGCCAAAATTCTTTCTTCCGATACCCTATCGGGAACCTAAAAAATCAGGAAATAAAAAAGAAATCTTGATTAAAAAGAAAATTGCGATAATTCGACAGTAGCTAACAAATAGGATAGTATGCATTGAATCAAAAGCAAATGACAAATGACGAAACAAATATCCAAAAAAATGACAAGAATGAAATAGGAAATTTAAGTGCAGCAATTAAATAAAATTACATTCCCACCTTTGAACCATCTTCATCATCTTTGAATAGAATGTACTCGCCAACAATAACTTTACAACTAAAGCTAAAATTTTCCCTTCCAATATCTTTGATATTCTTTTTTGTGAGGTACTGAAAATAAAGCAGAAGTAACATTAAATTTATCTCAATTTTTCGTTTTTATTTTAACTTGGAAGGCTTTTGTTTTCAAATTTTTCAAAGTTCCAAACTTTTCTAAACTTCGAACTATAATTAGGTAATCGAGTTTTACATTGAAATGATTTACATGTATATAATTTATATTATACTGAACACATACCCGCGTTACTTCAGCATATGAACCAAGTTTTTTACCACATGGCGCATAGTAAATAACATCACCTCGAACCCCGCTGGCACTTATTGTTCGAATACAGGTCTGACGTCGCCAGCTAGAATAATAAAAAGATGAAAATTTCTAGAAGGATAAAGTTAACAAGTTCAGAGACCTTCTTGTGTTTAGTGCACTGTCTCTCAGTAATAAAAGTTCTATTAATTGAACAAAAAAAATACTTTAGGGCAATTTGAGATTCTTAATGACTAGATTTGAAAGTCAAATCATTTGATGTTTTGTGTGTGTTTGATGGCGAAATTCATGTGCTCTGATTTGAAAAAGATAGTTTTTAAATATCAGTTAACACTTGAAGGTACTTGCACTAGAATAAAAAGTTAAACAGATTACATCATGGACCTCCTGGGATATCATAAACAGTAAGCGGAATTGAGAATTCAAATAGCCCTGGATATTTCTTTATAGATACATTAAAGTGAAGTAATAACACTTCACTTTAATGTATCTTTAAAGAAAAGATAAAAAATAATTCAATGTATAATTTGCTAGTTTATTGCTATTTGTATAGCAAAGATATTAAATGAACAAAAAGTGAACATTTAACATGAAAGATAGAAACAAAAACCCAGATTTCAGTGGTATTCGTATTAAAGCCGCATCGGCTTGTGTACGCTTTCTTGAGCTATCAGAATCCGCGCTGCTAGTATGTTCATTAAGAATACGATTATGCTCTCCTGTTGCACCGTTTCTTGATTTGTGAAATGATAAATCCAAGGGTGAATCAGTAAATCTAGCTGATGATGATGATGATGTCAGCATTGATTCGTGGGAAACTTTTGCAGATATTACACACGGTCGATGGCTTTCCTCTTTTCGGCATATACTGTAAAAAAAGTTAGTGATGAAAATTATAAAATTCCGTTTTCTTAACTGTTTCTCTTTTTCGACATGTAAAAATGAAATAATGTTTACGCAGATGTCTCGAGAATTTTACAGCAAATCGTTGTCAATTTTTAAATAATTATATGCAATGAAAAGTAAAATGAAACTTGCCTCAAGCCAGTGCTGGTATGCGGATGAGTCACTGCAGCCCTCTTCAACATATGAGTACCACTACCACTACCACTGGGAGAAGCGGTAGTGACAGTGCTGGTATTTGCAGCTCGAGCTCTTGCCTTTTCATAATTAACAGCACTTTGTAACACGGCAGCAATAAGTTCACTTTGCTGCTGCTGCTGCTGTTGAGAAGCTGTTGCAAATGCAGCATAGCAGCGTGCTGATGCCTCTAAAAGATTTGAATTCAAAGATACGCCGCCAGTTGATGACGATGATGATGATGACGAAGGTGATAGTTGCGAAGACATACCATTTCTTGTTCTATTGCTATCTCTGAAAAAACAAAAATCGCAAAAAAATCTCAGGGTTTCATAATTAAAATTCAAGGAGACTTTACAAACGATTCACGTGAACGGAAAGTAATTTAAAAAACTATGCTTTTTCAATTTGGAATCTCCATTTTTCTCCATGAGTACTTTTGGCAAAATTCACTGAAACAAATAATTATAATACAGAAATTTTACAGAAAAACATATCCAAATCGTACCTCCGCTTCGGTATTTCACCCGGTTCCAAACCTTTTGTTGGCGAATCTGGAAAGGAAGAAGTCAGTATGCCGATATTCGCAGAAGAAGTGGAAGCTACATCGGGAACAAAATGGCCGGTTGGTCGTAGTGTCGATTCGTTGTTATCTGTATTATCAGTTTCGCGATTCGTTTGTTGTCTACCTGAAAAGATAAAAGATTCCTGAAAGTTCACTGAATTAAATTAAAATCCAAAATCAAAATCCACTATAACAATCAAACCACTTGATAATCCTAAGCTTTGCTTAAATCTCAGAAATGCTTAATATTTTATGAATTCAATTCAACCAAATTATAGTTGTAACATTGTGTAAAATAACATTAAATCTGAATTATCTTGCTTATGGCAATGATAACATACCGGTAACGATATTAGCTGATCTTGCATTTGCAGTAGCCATTCTCCTTAACACTTCTTCAAAAGATTCTTGCGGTTGTTGCTGTTGTTGCAATAGTAATCCTGGTTGTGACAACTGTGCCATATTCCAAAACATCATATCAACTGTATTTGTCACACCAAAATTCAGATTTGGAAAAAGTAAACCCATGGGCATATTGCTTTGTGTAGCTGCTTGAGCAGCTAACAAAGCCAAGAAATTCTGTTGTGCCTGATCGCCCATTTCCTAAAAGAAAACATCTTTGTTTATAAAATTTTACAGAAAAAGCATATAATCCTCATCGTAATTTCTTAAAAAATGATTTAGGAATAGAAATAGAAAATAAAATACTGAAATTGTTAGTTATGCCAGTAAAGAGAAATAAATTAAAAAAGTATATAAAAATGGTTCAACATGGTCATTTAATAATATTTTGATATATCTTGCAGATACCGTTTTTTCAATGATTCATTATATGCGAATATAGATCAATATGCATGGATATATACCATTCAAAAATAAAAATCTCTTTTTCAAAGATAAGTTAGGTTTAAAATGTGAAAAAAGAAATCAATATTTCTCGATTTTTTTTTCACTTAACATAAAAAAGAATAATTTAGGTGGTTCTGCAAGTTACGTTAAAGAGAACTCAAAAAATTATTTAAACGGTACAAATTGTATTATCTGTATTTTTCGTTTATCTTTCGCATACATTATCTCTATCATGTTTGATAAAAAATGATATGACTTCAAATAATGATCATTATCTCACACTATCACATTGATCATCAGGATTTTTATGGATATGAGAATGGACAAGAAATATAGTGTACATCAGCCAGTTATCAAAAAAAAATTACAGAAACTCTTTGTAACACATTATTCCAACAAATGAAATATTAGCTCCTAATTTCAACTTCATTAATAGTCAAATTTCATTAATAGTCAGTTAAACACATAAATTTCATTAATAGTCAATTAAACTAATGCATGCCAAAAGTACAAACAGGATTACATACAGTAAAATTTGAATGTCTTTTACCTATTACACTAGCGTAAAAAGATAATGAATTCCGAGGTCAACGGTGAACATGTAACTGCTTTCATTGAATTTCAATCAGCATAATTTCAAAATACTTATATAACAAACAAAACAAAATTTTACATTTATATTATTGCAAAAATTGTGAATATTAACCTTTTGAAAGAGGAGAAAAACTTGAAGTTGTCCCAGAAAAGTGCAAATAGCGGCAGTTTATCTTGACATTTACAATGATCGATTTAGCAAGAAAAACTATGCATCCTAAGGAATCGCTTACAGGAATTATTCGTTCTTAAAGAAAAAAATAAAACGTCAGAGCAAAAAAACAAGAAAAAAATAAAATATTTAGCAAAACTTTTGCAAAATCTTCGAAGAAATGAATATAATGACATACAGATGAATGAATAATTGTTGATTTGTTCTATTGATTTCTATGCAGCAATCAGTAACAATTTGGATTAATTACACCAGCAGCACCCAAAGAACATCAGCAATTTTTTTTTTACATATTTTCATGATTGATTCCATCATATTATATCTGTTGTCCTATCAATGCTGCAAAATGTACCGAAATCATTCGGCATCCGATATCCAGTACTCTTCTAACGAATTAGCTTAATGAAAATTAATTTTATGTAAAGTAAAAAATAAAACAATCATACGGCCACTACTACTATTGCTACTACTACTACTACTACTACTACTACTGCTACTGCTACAAATGCTAATATAATTATCGCAATAGCTATTTAAAAAGACACAGAAGCTGAAATTTGACATATTATTTTAATAGCCACCAATGATGACGATGATATCAATATATGCCTCAAACTATACATATGCACGTATACATACATACATGCACACACACACACAACACAGATTGGATTACAATTTTTATGAAATTTTAAGTTGGAATAGGAGGAGAAATAGAAGGGCAATAGCGCCAGCTCTAATCCACCTGCTCCTTTATCGTCAATGACATTACCACCATCAAATCTACTACTATTGCTATCACTCACTCACTCACTCATAATATTTCCAAAATTTTTGGACATCTATTGCAAATGAGGAGAGACAGAGAGAGAGGAGGGAAAGAAGAGAGAGAGGAGAAGGAGAGGAAGAGAGAAAGAGAGAGGGGGAGAGAAGAGAAGATAAAAGTGAAGAGAGCGATCGTGGTTGAAGGCTGAAAACTGAAGGCCACCTGTTATTAAATAACCTTTGTCGGATTGTGGCATCCCATCTACACATGTACTGACTGCTAAGGGCGGAAAAGGGAAAATAAATGGAAAGGACAAAGAGGACATCAGAAGATGGCGCACGAATCCGTTGTATGCATGTATTGTTTACATGACTGAAGTAATTTATTTCACTGTCCTCTTACCACTTTTAGAATTGATTTCATTATGCCTTAAAGGCTTCACGTCAAAATGCTATCATAGCAGTCAGTCAGTCAAGTTAGTCAGTTAGTTCATCGACTAATTTTCCAACTTTCAAATTATTTCAAAGACAAGATATTAAATCTAAACAATTCAAAATTTCTAATTTTTTATGCAATTTAAAATTTTTGTTCCACTTCACTAAAATGCCTTATTTACAGAAAAAATTTACAAAAATTAGGAAAGTTTACTCTTAAAAATGACAGATGATTTTTATGAGTTTGTTTGCATAATATGATATTTTTTTGAGAAAAAAAAAACAGCTATTTAAATTAGTTTTACTTTGCTTGCATGTTTTATTGGATATATATCTAAGTGCAGGCCTCTTTTTCATCACATAACTCTTGTTAAGGATCAGTTATAAAGAATTAAATTATTTTAACTCTGTTAAGTAATTTGATTTACTAAAATTAACTAACCGAGGATTCAAGCAAAAAAAAAACCATTTAACTATCAATACTCCTATTCTCCAATCTCATTTATAAAACAATTGCTATCATCAATAGTCACACTTCAGCATTTTTCGATGACACTTCCGCTCACATCGCTTTTTCCAGATATCCATCTATCAATACTTAACTACAAGTAGATGCTTAGAGAAATACAATATCA